CTAGGTCTGTTCTCTTGCACAATGGACATTTAGGTAATTTAAGTGTACATTAGTTTCAGCTGGTGTTTTTCACCAGCATTTTATCATTGGTAACAAGCCCACCGTGTGGTTTTCTGTTTTTCCCGTGTTGTGCAAGTGATTATGGTCCATCTGTGTATCATTACTCCTAGCAGGACAGCTCTGCTCTTACACACCCTTGCTTCCCTTCCAGGCCGCAGCTGGGCAGCCACCACCACGGAAGGCCTGCTCATCTATTCCCTAGACTCCGGGCTCATGTTTGATCCTTTTGAGCTAGACGTCGATGTCACACCCAGCAGTATCCGCAAAATGCTCCATGGGAAGGAGTACACGGTGGCTATCATCATGGCTTTCAAGCTGAATGAGAAGAAATTAATTCAGGAGGTCATAGAGACCATACCTAGCAATGAAGGTAACAGGTTCTTCTGTGAAGCTTCTCTGAATTAATCATCAACAGAGATGTGTAAGCTAAATAAACTGAAGCCTAAAGGGCAGAGGTTTAGTGCTTTAAATAATACTGCTTGATTTTTTTTTTCTTTGTTTCTTTTTAAGACTTGAAGCTTTTTATTTATTGTGATATAGTTAAGGAAGGGGTGTGTTTATTGATTTACTACATATACAAACTGTTCAGCTTTTGGGTTGCCCACACTTTTTTATCCTAAGATTAGCAAAGATAAGGATAAAACTACGCTGGAATCAAGCCAGATAAAAAAGACTGTATCTGCTTTGCACTGTTTAAATAGGTTGGGCTTGAGAAGTGACTGTTTAGCTGTGTGTACATAGTTCACAATTCCTTCTTTATTCTTGTAGCTTCCTACAGAGGTAGCTGACCAAACTAACAAGTTTGACACTGTCTCTTGGTTGGATTTCACTATTCTAGTTTATCTCGTCCTTTTTGAACACGGAATTTGATCAGGTCCAGATATTCCAGTAAAGTTGGCAGAAAACTTCTGTGGTGCTAGGTGCACAGCAAGGTTAATATGAGTCAGGAGTGGGCCTGTGTGGGGAGGAAGGCCAGCCACGTGTGGGTGATACTGTCATGGATGTAACCTGAGGGAAGTGTTTAGTTCCATCTGTTTCGCACTTGTGAGTCCTCCTCAGGAACAGTGTCCAGTTTGGGGTTCCCCAGCACCTGGAAGCCATTGATGTGCTGGAGCACACGATGGAGGACTTCAGGAGGGGTTAGGAGTCCAGAGTGAGGGACAGAGGGAGAGAGACTGAGAGAACTGGTTTATTCAGTCTTAAGAGAAGGCCGAAGGTGAAGATTTTTACTGTGTTTCAAATGCCTAGTTGGAAACCATAAAGAAGGCAGAGCCAGACTCCTCTTGGAGGTGCTCAGTCTTAGGAAAAGAGACAACAGGCACAAGCTGCAACATGGGAAATTTAAATTAGATATTTGAACAAGTTTTTGTGCTTGGGGTGGGTGGTCAAAAAACAGGTTGCCCAGCGAGGCAGGGGAGAGTCTGTCCTTTGAGATGTGCAGCGTTTGACTGGATAAAGCTCTGAGCCAGCTGATTTTAAGTTAGTCTTGCTTTGAAATAATAAATGTAAACATTTATTAGCTCTATAGTAGATAAAATGTTACCAGAAACTTTCAATGTATTTTATTATTTAGCATTAGAACTTAATTAGTTCCATTGTAGTAATATTTACTCATCTTTCCTTAGCTTTGCCTCACTGGTGTTATCTCCAAGAAAAGTGATTATTTCTTTCCAGTGTTTTATGTGTAGTAAATACAAAATTTTATCTGGTCAAAACGTGCTGTAGTCTGAAATCAGGTGTGTTCCAAGCTTTGTAGGGTTTCTTACCTCCTTCTCTAGGTAGGGAACCTGATAATTATCCATGTTAGTGTAAATGACCTGTTGCATCTATGTGTTGGCACAATAGTGTTTTCATCTATCTGGCAAATCTTAGTGTTACTGGATTTTTTCTTTTGTTTCACTGATCTTAACAAAAAAAAATCCACATATATATGTGTGTGTGTGTGTGTGTATATACATATGTGTATATGTATATATATGGATTTTATATATATGTACATGCAGGATAGGAAAAGATAGGAGCCAAAGCCCCAGAATCCGAAAATAAGGTACTGACATTTTGGGCATAATGATCAGTGGTAGAGAATGAATGTGTGACTCTGAGATGAAAATTGTTTTTCCACGTTGAATGGCACTGAATTTTCACTGAATTAAGATGGTAGATGTGTCTGCAGAGATGTATTGATATGCAGAGAGCATCATGGGTATGACATCGCTGTACTTATGTGTGAAATTACTTGTAATGGTTATAAAGCCATACTTTTTGTGCTGCTGAATTGCTAATAGCATTCAGATACTTTCTCTGTGGGCAGGTGACTTTGTTTTGGCAAGTACCCCTTATTGTTTCTGATTACTAAGTGTAACTTGTTCCACCAAATACAGAATTCGTGTGAAGTCAGAAGCAACGTAGCTTTGGTAAAGTCTGGCTCTGCCAAAAGAGAAGGAAAAGGTGGAAATTCTGCAGCGCCAATGGTGGAGTTTGGATAAGAGGAGAGCCCTTATCGCAGGTCTCGGGAGACAAAGGGAGTTGTTAAACTCTTCCTTGTAATCAGAGTAGTGACTGGAAAGCTGAAATAGGAAAGATTTGTTTCGTCCTGTGCTGTTATCTAAAATATTACGCTGCAAATATTTTCCAAGTTCTTGGCTTATTCTCCTTCCCAATATATGTTCCAATGTGATCTTTCATATTCTTCCAAATAGTAATTCCACTCTAATTTCAGTGCATTTTTTTTCCACAGTTGACGTTATCTGTTCATCACTCCCGGATCTGTATGTAGAGAAGTTGCTGGAGTTCCTGGCCTCTGCCTTTGAGATATCCTGTCACTTAGAGTTCTATCTTATTTGGGCTCATAAGTTGCTCATGCTACATGGACAGAAACTAAAAACAAGGTGAGCCCTCAGGGGAGTCAAAACACTGGCAGGCATTTTGAAATGTCTGCCAGCCAAGGGGGCTTCTCTACAGTGGTACAATTAAAAGTCATCTTAAAATGTTCATATTTAAAAGTTAACATTTATGCTTTTCTAAATTTTGAGAGTGCAGAAAAGTTCTAGTGTTTCACATGTGTAGTTTGCAATGTAATTTATAGTAACGTTTTCTTCTTTCCAGGTCAGAAAAGCTGCTCCCTGTGCTCCAGTTTCTTCAGAAGAGCATCCAACGTCATTTTGATGATGTTTCCAAACTGTATGTATAGTCATACGTAGGAAGTCCAAATCATAATCCTTCATTTAAGGGTGGAGTAATTTGGGAGCTGACGGGGGTGTAACGTTAGAGATTTGAAAGTGGCCTTCTTATAGAGCTGCTTTTATTTTAAGAGAAAAATATTTACTTTTTTTGGAGAAAAGTGGAATTTTGGGGGGAGAAAAAATTGAATCCCATTTCTTACTTTTTCCAGTTGTGAGTGGAATATCTACAACATTAAATACGTGCTGGCCATTTCGCAACAGCGGGGCGTGAAACGCCTGGCGGACACGTCGGCAGAGGAAGGAGACATGGATTCCGACTGTGATTATATTATGCAAGACTCTCACAAGGAATCTTTTAGTTCCTAGTTATTCTTCACGAGAAGAAAACTGAAGAGAAAAGATTTTTATGCAGTGGTATTCACTGAGACTGAGTGGCTCTTATAGAGGCATAATTTCACTCTTTTTTAACATCATGCACAGTATTACTTGCAAGTTACAGAGATCAGTTAAATTTAAGATGGACCAAGTGCTGTCTGTGGTATGCTGTGAAATCCAATGAAGTTGCAGTAATTAGGATGAGTAACATCCCTTTACCAACAAATATGGGAACAAAATTACTGTGCTATAAAACTTCTCCAGGCATCAATTTAATGATCTGAGATAATGTGCTAAAGATTTGTTTGTAAACTGCCACCTCAATAATGTAACCTAGACTGTAAGGGGAGGAATGTGTTACAGATGTTAATCTTTCCTTCAAGAAAGCCGTGGTGTTGTTTCTTTTGTTTTGCTTTAATGTTATTCATTAAAATAACAATATCTGAATTTTTTGTTTCTTTGCTTTTGTTGAATTGACATGGGAATTGGGCAATGCTGACACTGAGGTTTTGAGTACAAAAATGAAAAGAAGGCTTGGAGTGTTTCCAAGCTGCGTGTTACCGGAGGTCTTGGTACCGAAGATGCTGCAAATACGGAGCCAGTGGTGGGGCGGATTTGTTTGCTTAGTGCTTAACTCTTCCGGGAGCGGAGATGGCGTTGCTGAAAAGTGCTTCAGTGAATACATGCCTCCAAAACGTGCAGCAGACACATGCAGACAGTTTGTAGGATTTGCAAGTACAAAGAAAGATGCTTTTGCTACTTAAATAAAACATAGCATTTTTTCTTATGGTAACATCTAAAAAAAATAGGTTCACCTGTGGCTTCTGCTCAGTGTTGTGGTCACATCAGTGGTTCAGTGTATCGTAGAGCAAAGGAGTGAAGGAGAGGGGGGCTTGGAGAGTGGTGCTTGCAGGAGGTGCCCTGTGGTCACAGAGCTGCAGAATGGTTAAGGTTGGAAGGGGCCTCTAGAGATCATCCAGTCCACCCTCCCACTCCAGCAGGGACATCCAGAGCACGGAGCGCGGCGCACACGCATATACCATGCACCTGTGACTCTGTAATCCCTCTTTCTTACTGTGCTCTTAGGCTTGTTGTGTTCTTTATGAAGTAGAATCACAAAATCATTACAGTAGGAAAAGACCTTCATGATCATCGCGTCCACCCGCAAGCGCATCGCCACCCCGGCTCCCAAACCGAGTCCCTAGCGCCTCACCCACGCGTTCCCTGAGCGCTGCCAGGAGCCTCGCGAAGCGCCTCCCGGCCTCTGGGGGCGCCGCCTCCCGCCGGGCCGAGGGCTGCGGCCTGGGCCGAGGTTTCCGCCGTGCCGCGGGCCCCGCCGACGCTTCCCCGCGCCTGGCCGCGCCGCGCCGCGCTGAGGTGGCCATGCTGGCGGCCTGCGCGCCGGGGCTGCGCGCCGCGCTGCGCCGCGGGGCGCCCGCGGGCCGCCTGGCCGCGCTGCACGGCTCGCCCGCGCGCCGCCGCCCCGCCCGCGTCGCCGTGGTGCGTGAGTAACTAACGGCCGCCGCGGGTAACGGCCGCCGCGGGTAACGGCCGCCGCGGGTAACGGCCGCCGCGGGTAACGGCCGCCGCGAGTAACGGCCGCCATGAGTAACGGCCGCCGCCGGTAACGGCCGCCATGAGTAACGGCTGCCGTGAGCCGGCAACGGCCGCGCTGCGGCTCCAAAACAGGGAGCTCACTTCGTTTATATTTTATTTCTTTCATTTTTTATTTCTTTCATTTTTATTATTTATATCTTGGGTTGGTTTGTTTATTTTATGGCCTGCGCGCTGCTGCTCGGCGTGAGGGGAGGTCGGGAGTCCCGTGGCGGCGGGTGACTTTGCGGTGGAAATGGCAGAAGTGGGAGATGGGCCAGAGTGGCTGCGCGGAGACCAGAGGTGCCTCCTCGCGGCAGCTCCCTTCAGCCCGAATTACATGGGAATAAAATAAATAAAATAAAATAAAATAACCCCCCGTTTAAGGCTTATTTATTTACTTATGTCTCTCTGGATTGAGCCCGCGTGAGCTAGAAGAGTTTATTAATGGTGGCAGCAGGTGAGGGGAAGTAGCCCCTGCAGGAACTTCTCTTATAACACAGTATTCCAAGCAAGGGCAGGAGTTTCTGTGGAAGGGCTCCTGACTGAATGTGATCAGGAAAAAAAAAATGGGGAAAATAATTGGAGACTTTGCAAAATACATTAAAGCAAAAGCCAAAATGCTTTGTCTGCCTCTGCTTCAAGGACAACAACAAAAAAAAAAAAAGCTGTAAGAGAAAAGAGTAGAAGGAAAGAAGGAAGGTTACTGAAAGCTGGAGGTGGAATAAGGATGTTCTGTGTGTCAGAGCAGTGAGATTCCAGGTAGGATTAGCCAGGACAAAAAAAAAATCTTGTTTTAAATGAGACCTTTAAATTACCTTTACTGGTAAAGATGACTGTAGGATGTTAGGCCTGTGGTAGCTGAGGACTGGATGTTGTGGTCTAAAAGGCCCTTCCAGATTTCCAAAAGACAGTTTCAATTGTGCCTTTTCATGTGCCTGCTATTTAAAGCTTGTTAAGCTTCTAAAAACAGACAAAACCAGGTGGAGAGAGAATAAAAATGGAGACTCTTCAATGGGAGTTTCTAACTGCACCACAAGGTTTTGCTATCATTTCAGGAATAAAGAAGGAATTATTTGGATTTTGGTGGGGGTGATTTTGTTCTTGCAAACACTTTTGTCTGTTTTTTTAATGCTTTATATTTTTTCTACTACTTTATGAAAGACTCCCTCCAGACTGAAAATGGATAGCTGGTTGTGTTGTGTGTTTTATGCTCCTGTGTATATAAGCAAACTAACATTGAAAATTTGAAAGCATATTGTTGTGGTAATAAGGGAAAATATGGCCCATGTAGCATACTTGGATTATGAATAATGATTTAGTTATTGATCTCTGATACGGATTCTCAGACAGAAAGTTGGCAGTAGGTAAAATAGCATTATCATAAATACAAAACGCAAAGTGCGTTTTTATCCCACTTCTGTTTGCTGTATATCCAGATGAGAGTGTATTTCACAAGGATAAGAACATCTCATCGCTGTATCAGGCTCAGAATGACCCCCTGCATGCATAATAAAAGCACACCTATGGGGCTTTTGTCAGTTTAGCAAATCTGAAGAACAAATATGAGACCTGCGTGTGGCAGGTACTTGTTGCACAGTATGTCAAACTGCAACACTAGGGCTAATAGCTTGATATTTACTGGCACGATAAAGACCTTGTTAGACCTTGTTTCTAAGGCTGTGGCTATTTTTTTTTTTAATCTCGCAAGGTTGGTGAAAGATTGTCTAGAGTTTTCATATCAGCTGAAATAATTTTGGTTTTCTCACTGCAGGTCCTGTCTGGTTGTGGTGTCTACGATGGCACAGAAATTCATGAGGCCTCAGCGTAAGTTGCTTTATGTAACTGCAGCCTCCAAAAATACCTGCGTTATTATCAGAACGCTCTGAATTCAATTCCTCTTCCTATGAGCTGTCAAAATTGCCCTGAAGGATTTGTGATAGTGTTTCTTCGTTGGCCCATGAAGCTTCCGAGTTTTCCCCCAGCATAATGAGAAACCTGGCTGCTTCCCTGCTCTGTCTGTCCAAGATTACACGTGCTTCCTATGTAGTGCCAGAGCAATGAGTTTGAGAGGCTTTTCCACACAAACAGCAGCTCAGTTTTCTAGAAACAAGCTCGAGCAATATAAAGAATTTTAATCACCTTAAACTTTCATTCTTGAGCCTAAATTGAATGCAAGATTTGTTAATATTCAAGCTGAGTTATTAATTCTGTTCAGTTTTTATTACTCATTTCGAAAACATGTTGACCTAGATCCAGGTTAAATATTCACCTAGGTATGCTAGGTGATTGTGGAACTCTTCCCTAAGCTGGAGGTCTTGCACTCAGGTAGAAATGTATTTATTGTCCCCTGTGTGAGAGCAGTGAATGAAAAAAGTTGTCACAGCTTGCCTGTCACCAACTCATCTGTCTCTGCCATCTGATTGACTTTTATTTGTTCTCGCTGCACTCTGTTGTTCTATAAAAGAGTGCTTTTGCTGCTACAGACTCAGTATGCTGTGGTAGCAGTTGGAGTGTTTTCCCCCTCTTTCAAGATGTCTTTCAGGGTCTGGTGGTGCCTTTACAAAGCCTCTTTCCCAAGGTGCTCAGCACGTCTCCTCTCTGGTTTTGCAGGGTGCTGGTGCACCTTAGCCGCGGGGGCGCCCACGTTCACATGTACGCTCCAGATGTGCCTCAGATGCACGTCGTTGATCACAGCAAGGGGCAGCCAGCTGCAACTGAGTCGAGGTAAGAGCTGTGCTGGGCCTCTGCTGTCACTGCTGGCTCTCACTTTGCTGCAAGCTGGGCCTTCTTCAGACGTAGCACCCTGTAGCTGAACTTGCAGCTAAGTGCTTTGAACAGCTTTATGCCAGCTGGAGAGCTAAACCTAAAGGCATTATCTGGACATTACTATATGCTCTCCTTTCTATGCTCTGTTGTGCACAAATGCTTCGTTTGTCTCATCTTTAAATTTCTGTTTGTTCAAGGAATGTTTTAGTGGAATCTGCACGGATTGCTCGTGGTAAAATCACAAACCTGGCTAACCTTACCACAACAGACCATGATGCTGTGATATTTCCTGGTGGATTTGGAGCTGCTAAAAACTTGTGAGTGCAAGTAAATAATAGACCCCCTCCTTATGACTCGCACAATAAGAACAGGGAGCAGTAAGTGGTCTTCTCTAGCATATGTAACCCCACCCATCCCTACCTAATTTAGTAAGGAAATGTCCCTTCAAAGTGTTGGAATTAAGTGCTAAGTGCCATTCATTTTGCTTTCCTGTTGTATTTTTGAAAATTTTCCCAATAATGTTAGTCAGAGTTCTACAGTTTAGATAGTCCATAAAAAGTCATCTTTCTCCTATACTCCTGTAGTATTTTTGGTGTCCTGATGATGAAAGCAGAGGTAAAACTTCCCAAGTTTTGGGTGTTTCTGTATTTTCCTTCTGTTTCTTCATGTCCGAAGTGCCTGGCTACCAAAAAGTCCTGCCTTGCTTTAGTAACAGTAAAACAGTGAGTGGCTCAAAAAAAAAAAAAACTAAACCAACCAAACAAGAAAAAACTGTGTTAGCCAAGTGGAAATCTCCTGTTAACCTTCTGATTAGCTTATTACTGATTCATCATTTTGTTGGCTTTGAAAAGTCTTTTTCTCTTTGTGTATTTTTGTTCCCAGATAAATTTGCTGATCTGCTTTTCAGTAGTCTTAGAAAGCTGATTTGATAATGCTTATTTTAAGCATTCATCTTAAATAAGGAGCTCTCTGACAGACCAGAGCCTGAGCAGAATTGACCTAGGTAGTGCTGCTCTTCTGCAACATTTTTCAGTCAGCTCGTAGAAGCTGCTGTGCTTGTGCTGACTTTTGAGAGCTGATCTCGTGTCTGTCGGCACGTTCATACTGAGCCTCTTGTTGTGGCAGATCCACCTTTGCTGTCGATGGGAAGGATTGCAAGGTGAATAAAGAAGTCGAACGTGTCCTGAAAGACTTCCACAAAGCAGGCAAACCTATTGGGTACGTATGTTAGCTATAGAGGGGTGATTGTTTGATAGTGTGAACATAGAGACAAAGTACGTTGTGTGGGAAGCTACCTCTGCTAGCGATGGAGCAAGAAAAGGTATATTCTGTGTATGTGTGTGTGTGTGTGTGTGTGTGTGTGTTGGTGTTTGTGGAAGAAGAACCTGAGAACATGTTGATCACAAGTTTCCTTTTGATGTCTTTCCAATTTGTAAGAGCATGCACACCTGAATCCTTTCAGTTTGGAGTGTTCAAAGATGCTGTCACGGATCTCTATATAATTCCTTTTTTTTTTTTTTTTTTTTTTTTTTTTGCAGTCTTTGCTGCATTTCACCAGTGCTGGCAGCAAAAGTTCTGGCTGGTGCTGAAGTAACTGTGGGGCATGAGGAAGAGGAAGGTGGCAAGTGGCCTTATGCTGGAACTGCGGGAGCCATTAAAGAAATGGGAGGAAAGCACTGCGTCAAAGAAGTAACCATATCCTTTCCTATAAGCTTCCACAATTTACTGTGCATGGTAGTATTGCAGTAGTAAATACGTACAGGACCTGTGCTCTTCCCTTAGTGTTTAGTGGGAATGTACAGCGTATGGAGCATGCTATAGGGTGCATGGTGAGGTCACGTTGCTTCCCTTATGCTGCTGCGTAGATAGTAGCAGTGCTTAGTGCTTTCCCTAGGGCTTCCTTGGACACTGGGAAACGCTGGGTGAATTTGCACCCAAAACTGGCACATGTTCACAAGTGGTCAGTTTTCTTTGAGAGATTTTTTTTTTCACTTTTCCTGAAGGCTAAAGCTGTGATCAGAAAACCAATATCCAGAGTATTTGCTTACAGGCAGTAAATTCCCCAAGTTTTCCAGTGCTTTTGAGTAATGCTTTTCCCACAGATTGCTCTTGCAGTCTATGTATTTCTGGCAAAATAAATTTTAGTATTTCAGGTTATAAATTTCAGCCGTCTTTATAGCTGAACACTAATATATTTGGAGGTGCTTTATTTAAGTGGTAATGGAGCTGTAAGCTTTTTGTCAGGGGCAGTTTACTTTGCAGGTGTCATCTGCATGTGAGGCATGGACGGTGTTTTCCTTAACTCCCTCTTACGAAGCTCACGTGGATACCAAGAACAAGGTGGTGACTACCCCAGCCTTCATGTGTGAAACAGAATTACATAACATCTTCGATGGCATTGGGGCCATGGTGAAGAATGTGCTGAAGCTAACTGGCAAGTAAAGCGGCTGTTCTAAAAAGTAAAGCTATAGACATGTTTAAATTTAGGGTATAGTATCAAAGAAAGAATGGACCAATGGAGACATTTTCACCTGCTTTTCCTGTTCACACTCTAATAAGTGCTGATGCGAAGCTGCTTGATTCCCATCTGTGGGGATTTCCAGGACTTTTCCAAAAGAGGAGCCCGTAGAACAGCTCGTGGGCGATGAGCGGTCTGGCCTGAGACACAGAGCGTTTCCTTGAGCTTTTCCAGGTGAAAGGAGCTGTGTGGCCGTGTCCAGCAGCCGTCATCATGTGGCACCAGTGCCAAAGCATTTCCATGCGGGCAAAGAAAGACTAGGGGCCTTTCCAGAGCTGAGGGCAGATGCGTTGTAGGGGCAGAGCATCCACAGTGGCGCTGCCTCTGTTGGCCTAAGAATGGAGAGGCTGTAGTTGGTACTTCATGGCTTAAGCATTTAGGCCTCAATCTGTGAACTAAAAGTCGGAATTAACTGTGGTGCGGCCAAGGGAGCAGACATCTTCCACATCCTAAGGTTGCCTCGGCTTGGTTTAAACATCCATGTTCTTTTTTTTTTTCCATTTTAAAGAACCCCTTTCCAGAGGAGAGCTGTTCCGAATAACATGAGCAGGACACACCTTATCTGTCACAATGTTAGCACTTTGAAAAATCCATTGGCCCATTATAGCTAAGAAAAGGTCTTGAAAGAAAAAAATAATCCGCTGATGTGACGCACATTTTTTTTAGGATCATGTCCCTGTTAAAGTAGTTGCATGTTTGGCAGTGGACAAGAAACAAATCTCAACTTATCCTCACTTTCTCACTTTAGGGTAATAAAGCTTTCTCCAAAGAAATATTGAATGTCTGGAAAAATGATGTATAAATAAATTAATCCTTGTCTTTATCTCATCTGTGTTTGTTATCTCATTTGTGTTTGATATATACCTCTGATAATTCATGCTGGTTGATTTACTCTGACATTTTTTTCAGGACTCTCTTCGCTTCATCTTTCTTTTTCTGATGCTTTTTGGTTCTCATCCCCTTTATCAAATCCATCTTGATTTCATGGAACTTTTTGCTTCTGGAGCCCCTTAAGTCATTTGTTTTTGTCACTAAACCTATATATATAAGATCTAGGGTTGAAGTCAAGGGTGGACACTGTTTTATTTGAGAACTTCATAGAGATCCTGGCTGGCACCAGTGTGCTTATGAAAAATCCTGCACATAAAACAAGTAATCATGGTGACAGACATGGTGCTTAAAGTCGATGCTGGACATATTCTAAAACAGTGTGTTTGTGTATCAGATCTGATTGGAAAATTTTCAGTGTCATGTGAATGATAAATAGCAAGTAATAAATAGAAGTAAAGCCCTCTATTTAAGTAAGTGCAAATAAGGACTTTGTTTTTTGAGATTTGTTTGTACTAAAAGGGATAGTTGTGCTATGAGTTTTATATAGCTGATACAGGCATGGGAGATATCTGAATATCATAGCAAATACTCAGATCTTGTTTGAATCAGAGAAACTTCAGTATTATGTGCCATAGAATGCCATTTTTAAATGCTTATGTTGTCTTTACATCTGCAGAACTTCTAAAAGAAACATGGTAGCCTCAGGAATTTCCACAAACAGAGATGGAATTGGAATCTCTGGAGTTCTTCTCCTGGGAGAAGAGCAGCTGTGTTACCAGTAACATTGTCTGCCACAAGAGTGCTCTAAGCTGAGCTGAACTCACGTGGCCCTTTCTGTCCCTTCCCCTCAGGGACAGAGAGTTCAGATCTTCCCACTGGCTCCCTTCACCCTGGCAAGGCTGTGGGGAGCGTTAAAGTTTTCCTCCTTTCTTGCTTAGATTAAGGTGCCCTGAGAAAAAGAGAAGATCTTTTTGCTGTTATTGCGCCCTGGCCAATTTCTGCAAGTTGGCAGGAAGATTCTCCAGATGTTGCCTCTTTTTACAGTCCTCTGAGATTCTTTCTGGAATCTGGATATCCAAATAATGCAAATATTAACAGCCCGATGAGCCCCTTTGCAAGCAGATGCAACGCTGGGCATGATAATCCCTGTCTCGAAGACTTCCAGATTGGAATACCCCAGTGCCTTAAACTTAGGATCAGTTGAAAGGCTCAGCTAGCTTGGCAGGACAGCTAAATAAGAGCTAAATAATATGAGATACTTCCCTCTCACGTGGTAATCTCAGTATTGATGACCATTTCAAGGTTAGTACTGTGAGTGCCAAGGAACCAGCTTCCTGCTCAGTGCCTGCCACTTTTTGAGGTGGTTCATAGGAAAAATGAGCTACCCCAAGAGTGTCCGTGCTGGGAGCGTAGGCGTGTGGTGGGGACAGGGCAGACTGCTGTGTAGCAGGGGAACCAGAGACAAAATACTGCTTTCAAAAATAATGACCTTTTAGAGCATTTTTCTACATTCTCTTTTCATTGCCATTGAGAGTTAATGGTTTTCTTTTAAGGGAAAGAGAAACATGCACCAGAATTAACCTTTTTTAAAATTTATTTTTTATTTTGTGTGAGATGTTATAGTTCGACAGTGATGTTCTGAACACAGATCTTCAATTCACAAGTTTTTTTATGGTTTTATGTTAATAGAAGGTCATTGATCTTTGATGAAAGGTCTGAGACCATCTTGGCTTTCAGCCCATGTAAATTTGTAGGGAAATTCCATGCTTGTGTAGAGATTCATAGAAACGTTTTTCTGCCAAGCTTGGGTTTTCCCTTCTTTTTTGATGGCTGTTTGGAGCTCCTAAGGGGTTTGCTGGTTTCAACCAAGCGGACAGAAATTTATGATTCGTGTGTTTTGTTAAATGCCATCAAAAATAAGAAGTGAAAGACTATGGGTATTAGAGCCTCCATGAGGAGGCACGTTGCATTTGCCTTACATGCCCTGTGTTTGTGGCCTGCCGAAAGCATTTAAGGGCTTTGTCCTACTGAAGTGGGGTGGTCCCCAAACCAGCTTCTGCAGGTGTTTTCCTAGTGATGGGAGGGGGCTAATTTTGGCAGGGAAGAGACAACTTTCACCAAGTGTGTTTCTGCCCAACCCGTTTTGCCCCCACCAAAGCGCCAGGCAAGAAGTGTTTAACATAACAATTTTTTTTTTTTTTGGCAGAATGTTGCAGTGTTCTGTTAAATTAAAAAAAAAAAAAAAAAAAAAAAAAAAAAGAGGAAAAAGAAAAGAAAAAGATACAGGTCCTTTTTCTTTTGTAAAAGCAGAAATGAGGATTGTGATGCGCTTTTCACGTTTTCCCCGTGTTTTGTGGCACGAGAAGACAGTCTTTTCAATCAACAACAGGGGGCACTTCGTGAGCGATGCTCAGAGGTTTTCGGGCCCTCCTGCGGCACCGTGTCCCAGCTCTTGTTTTGTCTGTGACATTATTGTTGCATGTGACATCGTTGTACCGTTTGGGGCACGCAGAGGACAATCAGGGAGGTCTTGCTTCCTACTGGTGTAGCAGAAAGAGGCAGAAGTTCGGCGTTGTCCTAACGGGTGCATTTGCCCGGCACTCCTGCAGAGGCTCGTTTCTTCAGCACTCCACCTCCTTCTCATCCCCATGAGAGGACAGTGTAAAGCAGACTTGCATGAAGCTTCCTATGATACAGTTACCCCAAATTATATACAAAAGCTTCCTATGATAGAATTATCACAGGAAAATGAGGGAAAATGTAAGCCATAAAATTATACATTTTCTTTTTTTTTTTTCTACCGGTAGTGCTGTCATAGTTGAGATAACCTAAATATAAGATTTGTAGTCACAGACTTATACCGGGCCAAACAATACTCTGGACGAAAATGGACTTTCTTCTAGGGTTTATGTTCTTACAAGCTAGCTGTTGGCCTGTGTGTGTGTTTGTGTGTTTATATACATATTTTATATTTTTCTTCTTTAAGAATGGTGGTTTTAATAATCCTCCAGCTGCAAATAATTGAGAGCTGCATTCCAAGACTCTTGAATCTCGTTTGGGCTGTTTCCCTGCTTCTCTGCCACAGCTTGCAGGGCCTGAGGGAGAGTTTATTTGTTACATTGGTTGTCCATAGCCCTCAGAAATACAAAGGATCAAATATTCATCCATCTTTTCCAGGGTGATTTCAGCGGTGGTCAGGATTTCTCAGGCGATAGACAGGGGAAGAAAAGGGACTAATCTTGGACAATTTCTAAAGCTGAAACAGAACTTGCAACAAGGATTGCATCACCCGCAGTGATGTAACTTCCTGCTGCTCATTTGAAAAATAAGCATCTTCCATGCCTATTCTCAATATTCTCCTGGTTACGCTGCCTAGTGCCTCGCTATGTGAACGAGCTGACGTCAGCCCGAGCTTGAAGAATGGTGGAAACTCTGCATCGAAGATTATTTATTGCCTTCTCCTTCCTACATGTGTGAATTGTTTTGGTGCTCCTTAGCTTTCAAAGCCAGCGCTAGTCCATGTTCAGGCTCTGGAGACTGCAGAAGCACGTGCAGCTCGTGCTGTGCACGCTGAGGGGGCTTGGGGACCTTTGCTTAGCAGGTCATCACGTGGGCAAGGAAAGGGCCTGGCAGCCAAGCCAAGCCTTGCCCTGCAGCCTCGCAGGAAGGGTGGACTCTGGCAGCGCGTTATCACTGGGAATGACGTTAAACACAGCTTGTGGAGCTGTGAGGAGCGGGGACAATTAAACCACCCAAACGCTCTGGCAAATCTTGGCCATAAAAAGCTGGTGTCGTGAGAGCCATCCAGAGGTCACCCAGTGTGGCGTCCTCCACCCTCTGCTCATGTGCTCGCCGTCATTCCTAACAGCTTCCAAAGGCAGGAAGAATGGATCCTAGCGGAGGGAGAGGCTTGGAACCTCTTGGAAGGCACCGGGCCTTCCTCGCGGGCCCTGGCGAGCACGGAGCACCAGCGCAGCACCACGGTGTCCCTTCGAGGCTGCCCCTCTCCAAGGCAGTCCGGCTGGGCCCAGCCCTGCCTCCACCCCACCGTGAAGGGGGCACTTGGGTGTTTAGTCATTTTCTTGCCCAGGAAGCTTCTGCTCGTGCAGAACTGGGGGGGCTTGCTTAGTTTGTGCACCTCAACCCCTTTAGGGAGGCGGGTGGCCTGCGAGGCGTTAGGAGGAGCTACGAGGCCTCACGGCGTGCTCCAGGCTTACGTGGTCGGGGCAGGCAGGCCTGTGCAGATCCGCCTCCTGAACCTATTGATTACACCGGGAGCCCATCCAGGAATAACTGGAATACAAATAAATACACCAATACAGCAAGATAACAAGAAGCTTAAGCTTTATTCGAGTTCTTTCTTGGCAAAACTAACTCTGTCTTTCCTGTGGAAAGAGGGTGGGACTGTTTGAGAACGGGTCCGTGTGCGGCCTTGGGAGCCGCTGCTGGAGGGCGCGGGGAAGGTGGCCCCACTGCTCCCACCGCTCTGCAGCCCAGCCGGGGGAGCAGAACCTTCTCCAGACGCCTCTCCCTCCTGTAGCAGCGCAGTTGCGACAGCTCCAGCCTGGCACGAAACATCTCTGCTTTCTTCATGCTGCTGGTAAATCTCAATCTTAGCTCCGCCTGGGCATCTCAGACTGCTTGCGTTGAACGTGCATATGTAACAGTTATTCCTTGACCAATTTTTAATTCCTGTTTCTTTTTTCATCTGAAGATATCCTTCTTAAACAAGAAACAGTGTCACAATA